TTTTTTTTTCAATCAAGTCAAAATTTAGTTATCTTGTCAGTAGATTCCTTTCTAATTTTATTTCAATTCACTACTCAGAAGAGTTGTTTCTAGTTATTATATCAGTTTGCACGTCGGTAGAGTATTTTTTTGGCCAATTAAGTCAAAAATTAATTTGCTCGTCAGTAGACTCCTTTTCTCTATTATTTCACTTTGCTCCTCGATAGAATTATTTTTTCCAAATGAGTTCATATTTAGTTTGCTCGTCAGTAGAATCATTTTTTAATTTTCCGTATAGATATTAAATTTGCTCGTTAATAGAGTGCTCTGCTATTTTTTTCAGTTTTCCAGTTTTTTTTTTCTAATTTGCTTGTCAGTAGAGTCCATTTAATCTAATTTTTTGTCTAGATATTAAATTTGCTTCAGTAAAGTTTTTTTCTTAATTTGCTCGTCAGTAGAGTTCTTTTCTTTTAATTTTCTTTCTAGATATTAGATTTGCTTGTCAGTAGAGTCCTTTTCTTTTAATTTTCTCTCGAAATATTAAAATTGCTCGTAAATAGCATCCTTTTTCTAATTTGCTCGTCAGTAGAGTCCTTTTCTTCTAATTTACTTTCTAGATATTAAATTGGCTCGTCAGCAGAGTCCTTTTTTTCCAATTTTTCTATCTAGATATTAAATTTGCTTGTCAGTAGAGCTCTTTCATAATTTGCTTGTCAGTAGAGTCCTTTTTTTAATTTCTCTCTAGATGTTAAATTTGCTCGTAAGTGGAGTTTTCTTTTCTAATTTACTCGTCAGTAGAGTCCACTTCTAATTTTTTTCTAGATTGCTCGTCAGTAGAGTTCTTTTCTAATTTTTTTCTAGATATTTAATTTGCTCGTCAGTAGAGTCCTTTTATAATTTTCTCTCTAGATATTAAATTTGCTTGTCAGTAAAGTCATTTTTAAATTTGCTCGTAAATAGAGTCCTTTTTTCTTATTTTCTCTCTGGGCATCAAATTTCCTTGTCAGTAGAGTTCTTTTCTAATTTCTTCGTCAGTAGAGTCCTTTTCTAATTTGCTCGTCAGTAGAGTCATTTTTAATTAGTTAAATTTCTGCTTGATCAAGTTGATTAGGGGCATATATTAATCACGTGAGATTTTTTGAAGGGTTTGACAAAAAATCACAAAATATGTATTCATTTTTTACCTAATTTTTTTTAAAAAAAAAATCCGAACATTTCCGAAAAAAATTAAAAATTTCACAAATTTTTGAAGGCAAAATACCACTCACAACTAGGCCCAACAAAACAATTTTCGTCCCTACGTTCATGGACCGACATTTATCACTGTTAAAAATAATTTATTTACTAAAAAACACAACATCGAATTCATATTCATTCGCAAAAACAAAATCGAACCAGCGAATCGTAAAATCGTTTTTGCAATAAATTTCAATATTAATAATAATCTCGCTCTTTTGTTTCGATTCGGAAAATAACATCATCCATACGAAACGAATGCTTTGATAATTAAAATATAAATTTATAATTAGACGCAAACAAAGGGATAATTTAAATATTGTTTTTTCCGTGCATTTTATTTTAATTAGATGTCGAAAACATTGCGAAAACATTGTCGAGATTATTTTGTTGCAAAATTTATAAATATCGATAATTGTCGATCAACTATAATTAAATAAAAAAGGATTAGGACAAAAGTTGACCTAGTATTAATTAGTCAGGGCGCTGGTGTTAAGATTTATTTATTTACTTCCCGTAGGGTAAGTTATAGTGATCGCTAAAACATGAAAATTAAAATTTTTGTATAACTGTACGCTTCAGACGTTTCTGAACATTTTCGCATACCCCAGAAAAATTGATGTATGTGTGTGTTCAAAATACTCAAAAATCTAATTTTCTAAAAGGTCAAAAAAATTTTTTTTGAAACATTTTTGGTGCGGGAAGTTCCAACAATTTGCCTTAAGTTACGATGCCATGCACCCTTAGAATTATTATAATTTTTTTATTAAGATTTGTAGGCGTATTTTCAGATAACATCTAACTATCTTAAAACTAACCTCAAAATAGCTCAAAACGTTAAACTAACAATACATATTTATATGAATTTGCTCGTCAGAAGAGTCCTTTCTATATAACAAGACTTTTTGAATTAGGTAGTCATTAGAATTCTTTTTTTTTCTGAAATGAAATTTGACCAATAATTTCCAAATTTGCTCGACAGTAGAGTTCTTTCTTTTTTGTAAATTACATTTTATCAAAAATTTTTGAATTTGTTCGTCAGTTCTTTCTTTATCTTAAATGACATTTCATCAATAATTTCCGAATTTGCACGTCAGTAGTTTTTTTTTTAATAATTTAATTTGCTCGTCAGTAGAATTCTTTTAATTTTAGAAAAATATCAGTGTTTGTTCGTCAGTCGAGTTATTTCTCTCTAGAAAGACAAATCTAAGTTTAGTGAATTTGGTAGTCAGCAGAGTTCTTTATTTTTCTTTAATGAAATTTGAACAATAATTTCCGAATTTGCTCGACAGTAGAGTTCTGTCTTTTTCTTGAAAGACATTTTATCAATAATTTCAGAATTTGCATGTCAGTAGAGTCCTTCATTCCTTCTAAAAATTCCAGAAATTGCTCATCAGCAGAGTTCTTTATTACTTAAAAAATAAATATCTCAATTTGCTCGTCAGTAAAATTCTTTTTTTAAATATTTGAATTTACTTGTAAGTAAAAGAAAATTTGTTTTAATTCCAGAATTTGCTCGTCGGTAGATTTATTTTTATTTTTAAAAAGAAAACTAGAATTTTCTTGTCAGTATAGTTCCTTTTTCTAAAAATGTTTGAAGTTGTTCGTCAGTAGAGTTCTTTTTTTTAAATTTGAATTAGCTCGTCAGTAGAGTTCTTTTTTTCTTAGTGAGTTTGCGCGTCAGTAGTTCTTTTTATTTTTGAGGGCAAAGTGTAAATTTTCTAGTCAGTAGTTCTTTATAATTTAAAAATAATTTGCTTGTCAGGAGAGTTCTTTTATATTACTTTTGAAAATTACAGAATTTGCTCATCAAGTATAGTATTCTTTTTTTATTAGTTAAATTTGCTCGTCACAAGTTTTTTTGATTTTTTAAAAATAATATCAGAATTTGCTTGATACTAAAGTTCTTTATTTCTTAAAAAAAAGATTTACTGGTCAGTAGAGTTTTTCCCCTAAAAATGTTGGAATTTACACGTCAATATGTTCCTTTTAAATTTTAAAAATAATATCAGTTTTAACTCGTTAGTAAGGTTCTTTTTCTTTAAAAAAAACAGAATTTGCTCGTCAGTAGAGTTCTTGGTTTTTTAATTCAAAATTTGCATTTGCACGTCAGTAGAGTTCTTTATTTAAAAAAAAAAACAGAATTTGCTCGTCAGTAGAGTACTTTTTAACTTCCCGTAGGGTAAGTTATTGTAATGGGCCGAAAATCGGAATTGAAAATTTTTACATTTCTCGACGTTTTGAAGGTTTCTGAACATTTTGGCATACCTCAGAAAAAATGGATGTGTGTGTGTGTGTGTATGTGTGTGTGTGTGTATGTATGTGTGGATACAAATTTCCAGTCACGTTTTAGGGCGCACGGATCAACCGATTTGAATGGTTCAAAAAACATTCGATTCCTATTGATAGGGAAAAGAGCTGATTAGTTTTTGGCAAAGGCAGGTCCAGCCGTTTCGGAGATACGGAGCAAAGAGTGCGGAAAATAGAAATCGAATTTTTGAGAGAACGGAGTATCCGATTTGAATGAACTAAAAAACATTCAATTAGTAATGATTGGGAGAAGCGTTTATTAGTTTTTGGCAAAGGCAGGCCCAGCCATTTCAAAGATACGGAGCTAAATATGTAAAAAATGGCAGTTTTTGAGAGAACTAAGCGTCCGATTTGAATGATTCAAAAAACTTTCTGCTTGTCTTAACAAAATAATTGATTTTGGAAAAAAAAAATTTTGTTCCATTTTTTTTTTTTTTTTTTTAGTTTTTTGTTGAAACAAATAATTTCAACTTTGCAATTCAGTTTATATAATTCTTATAAATATTAGACAATGTTACAATATTTATAATAATCTATTTGAAAACATTCAATATTCCTCGAACATTTCGTTACCGTACGGGAAGTTCCAGCAATTTGCCTTAAGGCACGATGCCACCCACCCCACTAGTTTTTATAACAAGTCCAGAATTTAGTCGTCGGTAGAGTTCTTTATTTCTTAAAAAATAAATATCTGAATATTCTCGTCAGTAGAGTTATTTTTGACAAGAATTTGCTCTTCAGTACAGTTTCTTTTTTTCTGAAAATTTCAGAATTTGCTCGTAAGCAAGTTCTTTTTTTTAACCGTCGACGAATGATCAAAAATCTGCTCTCTCTTTCACACACACACACTCACATACACACACACTTTTTCCAAATTCGGTCTCAATCGATTCAGAATGACTTAAAATGTCGAAAAAACAAACTTCTTCGGGAAATTAATAATACTTAATAAATAACAATATTATTATTTATTACCTATAAATAAGTTTCGATTAACCGTAATAATTATTGTCGATAGGTATTCGGATAATCAAATAACCGGATAATCGAATGTTTGAAGAATAATGTTGTATATTTATTAAAAATAACAATTACATACATAGATATTAACGAAAATTAATGTTTATTAAGAAAATGAAACTTTCTCATTTATGTACATATAAATTTTCTTAATTGTAAAAAATAAATCTTGGTTTCTTTGTATTCAACAAACACCTAAAAGTTATTCAAGCTAGTGTAGACTAATAACCTAATATAACCTAAGGGCTATATTAATAAAAACAACCACAAATTTTTATCAAACATTTTTTTATTACACATATAAAAGTAGAAAAAAATATAACAATCACATTAATATTTCATCATATCACTTACTTATAAACTACAATACCGAATAAATCACGAAATTTAAATCGATTATAATCGATCGATTACATCATAGAATTAAAAAAATAAATTTCTCAAAAAAAAATACTTTAGCAATCGACTGGTTTTACGTCGGTCTTGAAATCAAGCCACATTCTTTCGAATTCTTCTTGCAGCCCTTCGATTAGATCGATATCGGTTGTTATGATTGTATTATCGTAATTTACTGTAAGGGCCTAAAATATAAAAGAAATATATATATATATATATTAGGGTGGTCCTTAATACGGACATTTTCGAATTTAGTTGCTCCCAAGGGCTCAAACGCTTCCAAATTAATAAAAGAAAATCCTCTAAAAGATTCAGCTCTTAATATTATTATTTAGATAGTCCGCAATTCAATTAAAAGTTCGTATATTCATTATTACTATATATACTTGCGCCATCTGTGATAGCAATCGTAACCTCAAATATTACGACACTTAAAAATATTTATAAAATACTTCAACCTCTAATTAAATCCATGTGGACTGTTTAACGAAATATTTATTCATCATGGCATCAATATTAATTTTGCAGCTATTTATTTAATTGGTGATGTTGACAATCAAATTATCAGGCATCAAAATTACAAGTCCGCTATCACAGATGGCGCAAGAATTTACTTAATGATAAATGTTAATAATAAATATACGGAACATTTAATTGAATTGCGAAATGTCCAAATGTTAATATTAAGAGCTGAAATTTTTAGAGATTTTTTTTTTTATTTATTAGAAAGCGTTTGAGCCCTTGGGAGCAAAGAAATTCGAATATGTCCATATTAAGGACCACCCTAATATATACATATAGAATATAAATAAATAAGAACGAACTACGTTCTTCAATTATTTGCGCTAACTTCATTTCATTCAGTTATTTTCGAGACCATGGTTCGTTCCATCAAATTTAAAATTAGTGAACTGACAAGTATCAAAAAACGAAGGGTCGATGTATAGGATTGTAACGTTAACCCTGAATAAAAAAGTATTTGCAAATTAGAAACCGATTCTGCCACATAAGAGAAAAATAGTATGGCAAGGCCATATCATGAAAAACTCCATACTAAATTTGTCAAAAGCCATGCGGTTGCTGTGAAGTCAGGCGCATTTCTCACGTTGTCAGATACAAAACCTAAATTAGAAACAGCACAAACGTCAAAAAAAAACGATCTAGAATAACAGGGTTTTCCTGACTCGGCTTCATAACATACGAGTGACGTTGCAGTTTATGTGTAAAACGCCTGAATGCACAGCAAACACATGGACATTTTGACAGAATTCAGTATGATTCAGAAGCAAATTTGCTCGTCAGTATAATTTTTGTTCGAGAAATTTACGAATTTGCTCGTCAGTAGAGTTTTTTTCTGCTAAAATGTATGGATTTGGCCATAAATAAATTTCTTTTTTTTCATAAATTTTGCTCGTCAGTATGATTCATTTTTTTCCTAAAAAGTCTGAATTTGGACGTCAGAGTAATTTTTTTTTAGAAAATTGTCTGAATTTGCTTGTCAGTATAATTCTTTTCCGAGAAATTCACGAATTTGCTCGTCAGTAGAGTTCTTTTCTGCTAAAATGTATAGATTTGCCCATCAATATATTTCTTTTTTTTTCATAAAAAATCTGAATTTGATCGTCATTAGAGTAATTTTTGTAAGAAAAATGTCTGAATTTGCTCGTCAGTAAAGTTCTTTTTTTAGAAAAATATCTGATTTCGACCGTCAATAGAGTCCTTTTTAACATAAATTGAAATTTGTTCGTCAATATTTTTTTCTAAAAATTTTAATTTGCTGTCAGTAGAGTTCTTTTTTTGCTAAAAATGTTTGAAGTTGATCATAATTAGTTTTGCTCGTCAATAGATTTCTTTTTTTTTAAAAATGTCTGAATTTGCTCGTCAGTAGAGTTCTTTTTTCTTACAAAATGTCTGAAGTTGCTCGTCAGGAGATTTATTTTTTCTAAAAATGTCTGGTTTTGTTCGTTCGTAGAGTTCTTTTTTTAAAAAAAATGTGTGAAATATACACATTTGTTTGATCGACGGAACTTTTTTTATAATAAACCAAAAAAAAACTGCTTTTGATGCAAAAAACAGAAGTTCATCAGGCTTGTCAAGAAAAACTATTACTAATTCAAAAAAAAAAAAAAAAGTTACCAGGGCAGAAGTTTCTAATGGCAATTTCTGGTTTTATAAATCTGAAACATCATTAACCTTCCTTAAAGACAAATTTGGATAGGAAAGTATCTAAAAACCGAAGACAAAGGCTACAATCGATGCAGAAAAAGAGCAACTCAAACTTAACCCAAAAATGTTATAAATTTGGGGGTCTATAAGTTTGTATAACATGCAAAGTGGTGGTTTTTTGTTTAAAATAAGTTCTCAAAATCACAATAATTCATTCACATGTTTTGCTAGTCCTCGTATGTTTTCCATAGTATAAGTATTGTGCTTAAACATATAGAAGGGACTGTGACGTCATATGTCTGAGCGAACATTGCCGACGACAGTCGCGGACTCTCCCAATTGATCAAATGTCACAAGTCATATATTACCTTGTAATATATAAACCGATTTTAACAGGTGGATTCGATTTTATGTACATTTATTTCGCAATAGAAATATTATCAATATCATTTCTTACAAAATTATAAGCCATCACAATTGCCATCATATTATTGAAATAAAACATATAACACATGTAACATTTGATAAATCGGGAGAGTCCGCGATTGTCGTCGGCAATGTTCGCTCAGACATGTGACGTCACAGTACATTCTATGTTTGAGCACTTATTTTGCTCTCGACTAGCAGTTCATTTAATATAAGGTCTACGCATTGGTTACATTTTTGTATACCTGAAGCCTATTTGTAGAAGTTCTAGTAGAAGTCTAAAACAGCAATATTGTCAATGTTTGGGGATTTACCAGACTTAGACATACGAATTACAACATATCTAATAAATTGTATATTTGTTATTCAAGTCAAGAATCACAAGTTTGTAGGTACAAATAAAACGCGTTTCCTAAAGTAAACATATTGATTCTTTATAAATTATACTCTTTTGATGGGACAAACCACAGTCTCGAAACGTCGGTATCTCAGAACTTTATGCTTAAAGTACACACACACACACATATATATATATATATATATATATATAATTTATGATTATTCACCTGCAAACACCAGTTCTGCGATCCCACCATAATGATTCCCTGTTTGGGAAATTTGATCGCATCTGGCGACACTTTGGCAACACTATCAGTTTCGACAGTATCGATCAGGCATAACTTATGATGCATAATACTGTCGGAACTTACTTTGTATCGAATGGGGATTCCTAAAAAACAACACCAAAATAATAATAGAACAAAAGACAGTTGAGTGTGTTATAATCAGATGATTCGAACGACGACCTGAATCATGAGGTAATTCTGTCTAATAACATGGCATTGTCAAGGCAACGTTATCATATGCTTACTTGGTAATAATGTGTCAAAATGTATATTTATTGGCGAATTTTTCATACAAACATGCAAGAAAGAATGTTATAATAACAGAATCTTCGTTGATGCAGTTATCGTAACATTCTTTCTTACTTTGTTTATATGCAAAATACGCCTGGTCGCACGGCAAATTAACAGACATTTCACAACGCTATGTTATGAGGCAGAATTGCCCCATCAAATCGGATTTTATTCGAATCGAATCAACTCGTATCAAGCCAAGAACTGTTTATTGTAATACATGGATAGACACAAATTTTGAAAATAATTAATTTTGATAATTATTAACAAGTTAAACATTATTGAAAATCTAAATTAGGTCTGAAAAAAATGGAGTCCACTAACGATCGAACTCAATTGCAGACCAGAAGATAAAAAAGGACTCTACTGACGAACAGATTAAATTGCAAAGAAGCAAACCCGTTCATCAGTAGAGTCTTATTTTATCTTCTAGCTTACAATTTAATTTGTTCGTCAATAGAGCCCTTCTTTATCTTTTAGTTTGCAATTTGATTTGCTAGACAGTACAATCCCTTGACTAAAAGGGATTTATTTTCCAGTGGATTGTATTTTATTGATAATAATAAGAACGAGTAGAATAATATCAGTTTGCTTGTTAGTAAAGTATTTTTCTTTCTAGAATAATCGTATTTTGTTAGTTATATTTTAAATTGATTTTTACTTTACTCATCACTAAATTTCCTTTTTCTTATAGAATCGTTTTTTCTTATTCATTAAAAGCGGCTAGTCAGTAGAGTTCTTTTTTTAAAAACAGTCTGAATGAATTTACTCGTCATTGTCATGTCAATTTTGTTCGTCAGTAAAGTCCTTTTTCTAAAATAACCCGTACTACCTTATTAAATTTGCTCGTCAATAGTTTTTTTTTTTTACTAAATAATGTGAATTTGCTGGTCAGTATCATTCTTCATTGTTTCATCAGAAGATGTCTGAATTTGCTCGTCAGTAGAGTTCCTTTATTTTCTAAAAATGTGAAATCGCTCGTCAGTAGAATCCTTTTTCTCTAAAGATGTAAATTTGCTCGTCAGTAGAATTCTTTTATTAAAAACTGTCTGAATTTACTCGTTGATAGAGTCCCTTTTTTAATATTTTAATATTTTGCTCGTCAGTAGAGTTGTTTTCTTTTTTTAAAAAGAAAATGCCTGAATTTGCTCATCAGTAAAGTTTTTTTTTTAAAAAAAAGTCTGAATTTACTCATCAGTATGATTTTTTTTTCTTAAAAAATAGCTGAATTTGCTCATCAGGAAAGTTATTTTTTTTTAAAAAAAAGTTCTTTTTTTAAGAAAAATGTGAATTTGCTCATCAGTAGAGTTCTTTTTATTTCTAAAAACGTTTGAATTTACTCGTCAGTAGGATTCTTTTTTTTTTAAAAAAAAAAAGGCTAATTATGCTCGTCAATAGAGTTCTTTTTTCTAAAAATTCACAAATGTTCTTTTTTTTAGAAATTTACTCGTCAGTAGCTTTCTTTTTTTCTAAAAATTCCCAAATTTGCTCGTCAGCAGCTCTCTTTTTTTTCTGAAAATGTTTGAATTTGCTCGTCAGCACAGTTCCTTTTTTTAAAAAAAAAATATCTGAATTTGCTCGTCAGTAGAGTCGTTTTTTTAAAAAAACTTTTTGAATTTGCGTGTCGGTAGAATTGGTTTAAAAAAAAAAACAATGTCTGAATTTGCTCGTCAGTAAAATTCTTTTGTTTTAGAAATCTACAAATCTGCTTGTCAGTAGAGTCCTTTTCTTAAAAAAAATGTCTAAATTAGCTCGTCAGTAGAGTTCTTTTTTTAATTAAAATCTTTATTTGCTCGTCAGTGAAGCTCTTTTTTATAAAACTTCTTGAATTTGCCTGTCAGTAGAGCTCTTGTTTTAATTAAAATGAATTTACTCGTCAGTAGAATTCTTTTGTTCTAGAGATTTACAAATTTCCTCTTCAGTAGTCTTTAATGCTAAAAATGTCTGAATTTGCTCGTCAGTATTTTTTTTTTCTTTGAAAAAAAAAGTCTAAATTTGCTTGTCAGTAAGTTCGTTTTTTTTTTAAAAAAAAAGCCTTTATTTCCTCTTTTTTCAATGTCTGATTTTGCTTGTCAGTAGAATTCTTTTTTCTAAAAAGAAAATGTCAATTTGCTCGTCATTCGAGTACTTTTTTGTAAAAACATGTAAATTTGTCAGTTGAGTACTTTTTTTTAGAAATATGAATTTGCTCGTCAGTAGAGTTCTTTTTTTTTCAAACTAAAAATTGCTCGTCAGTAGGGACCTTTTTTTAAAAAAAAAGTACGAATTGGCTCGTCAGTACAATTCTTTTATTTTTTGAAAAATGCCTGAATTTACAATTTTGCTCATCAGTAGAGACCTTTTTTATGAAAAAATATCTGAACCTGCTCGTCGAATTTTTTGTTAGAAATGTCTAAATTTAGAAATTTACAAATCTGCTCGTCAGTAGAGTCCTTAAAAAAAAGTCTGGCTCATCATCAGTAGAATTCTTTTGTTTCTTGAAAAATCTGAATGTGCTTGTCAGTAGAGTTCTTTTCTCATAATAATGTCTAAATTTGCTCGTCAGTAGAGATCTTATACTAAAATTGCCTGAATTTGTTCATCAGTAGCCTCGTTTTTAAAAATCTAAATTTGTTTGTCAGTAGAGTTCTTTTTTCAGAAATTTAGAAATTTGCTCATTAGTAGTCTTTAAAAGTCTAAATTTACCTGTCAGTAGAGTCCTTTTGTTTAAAAAAATATAGAAATTTATAAAATTGCTCGTCAGTCGAGTTCTTTTTTCGGAAGTTTAGAAATTTGCTCGAGTCCTTTTTTAAAAACAGTCCTTTTTTTAAAATAGTCCTTTTTTGTTAAAAACGTTTGATCTTACTCGTCAGTACTTTTCTTTAAAAAATGCCTCAATAGGATTTTTTGCAAAAAATGTCCACATTTGGAAATTTACAAATTTGCTCGTCAGTAGAGTCCTTTTTTTTTTTAAAAAAAAAAGGAAGCCTAAATTTGCTCGTCAGTAGAGTCCTTTATTTCTCTAAAAATGTCTAAATTTGCTCGCCATAGAGTTCCTAAATACAATTGTTAATATTATAAAAACAATACTAAGTGATGAATTTGAGCACGATTGCACCATCTTTTGAGTGCCAAAAAACTAAAACATGAAAAAGCTTTTTTGTACCAACTTATACACGAGCTTGATACGAGTCAAATCGATTCAAATCAGTAGTAGTTTTTGAGTACTTATCACCATTCAACTCACCTTTCCTCATCATCTTCTCCAAATTCTGATTATTATCAAACATCTTATGATCCGTTATAACCCTCACATACACCCCCTCATCTTAGCTTTGATAATAGCCTGTGTCAGATCATAATTCGATATGATGTACATACTGAGACATATCGATTTCCTGCTCGAATTGATAATAGATATCATCTTGTTGATATTGGAGAAGAAGCACCTCTCGTTGGCGCAGCCGAGACAATTCTTGGTGTCGCCGCTTTCGTTCTGGCAGTTCATCGAGTCTTCGCCGGAGAAAAGGACGTCCTCGATTACGATTTCGGACGGGTAGAGGTAGCGGTAGAGGCGATATAAGGTGTAGGTCGAGAGGATGAGGACTAGGGTGGGTTTTAGGAAGAAGACCATCTTTGGGTGAATTGGTGGATAGAAGATTCTGCCTGGTGAGGGGTAGAAGATAGAGTTAGTTGGTGTGAATGATTTATTAGTGGATGTAAGGACACGGTATCGAATAGAAAGTATCGATACTTTCTATTCGATACCGTGTCCCTAGGTGGATGATGATGATGTGATGAAGTATGATTGGGTGAATGATAATATGAGTGGATGAATAAATGAACTAGATGTAAGTGACATTTTGCCTTGGGGCAAGTTGCATGAACGTCCCGATACGTATATGTCTCGTACTTGATCGAGAACGATTAAGGCGGCAATTGTGCCTCATAAAATAGCTTTGTCATGGCAACTTACTTGGTAGCGAAACTGTCTATCAAGCTGCGCGATCAGGCGTATTTTACATATAAACAAGCAAGAAAGAATCTTATAATAATTCTAAATGGTGCAATTAGGGGGCGTCCATAAATCACGTGATTGACTTTTTAAGGATTTTTGGACACCCCTCCCCCTTGGCGATATTCAAAATTACCCCCCCTCTCCCGCCAAACCTCACGTGTATTTTTAGTTATAGAAAAAAAATGGTAATTTTTTTTATTTTTTGGATTTTTTTTTAATTTAGATACAAGATAAATAAATGTGATATTTTACTAAACCCCTCCACCAAAATAAAAATTTGCTTAAAAAGAACTGTACTGACGAACAAATTTTGTAATATTTTTAAGAAATAAATAATATTTTCAAGGATTCTGCTAACAAAAAAAATCTGTTTCATTTAAAAAAAAAAAAAAACAAAATTCTTTTGTTAGTGGAATTCTTAAAAATATTACTTATTTCTTAAAAATATAACGAAATTTGTTCGTTCAGTTCGTCAGCAAGTTTAGATATTTTTCAAAGAAAAAAGAACTCTTCTGACGAGACATATTTCGAAGATAAAAGGACTCTACTGACGAGTAAATTCAGACATTTTTCAAAGAAAAAAGGACTCTACAGATGACCAGACTTGTAAATTTCTTAGTAGAGTTTTCTTTTGTTACAAATTGACAGAATTTGCTCGTCAGTAGAGTTCTTATTTTTTTTAAACAAATGTCTGAATTTGCTCATCTGTAGCGATCTTTTTTAAAATAAATAAAACATTTTGCATCATTTAATTACGAAGAAACGGCTTGACCAATCTTTGCCAAAAATAATCAGCACGATTCCCAAATAATTAATTTGCTATTTTCTTTTAATGTCTAATTTTACTTATAGGTAGAGTTCTTTTCTAAATAAAGAAAGCGTAAATTCATTCGTCAGTAGAGTTGTTTTTAAAAAATATATGTATATCAAAATTTGCTAGTCAGTAGAGTTCTTTTAATATTGAAATTAGTGGGGCGCATGGCATCGTGCCTTAAGGCATATTGCTGGAACATCCCGTACCAAAAATTATTCTTTTTTAAAAAGATTAACATTTTTGAAAAAAATTTACTCTAAAATAATTAGATTTTTGAGAAAGTATAAATTTTTGACAAAAATTTACTTTTTTTAAAGAAAATTTTTTTTTGAAATATTTTGGATATTCTGAACTTTGTTTCAAAGCAATCGTACTGCTTTAACTGCCTAAAGACAAAATATCGAAGCGCGTAAGCGCCGCGTCGTCGTCTAACGGATAAACATTGGTACGGAACCCCTAGGAATGTAAACAACATTTATACTTGTTGTTAAAATCTCTATAAAATATCTGATAATTTGATGTGCATATGTCTAATGATCATTTTTGACCGCCAGATGGCATTTTTTTTTACTTTTTTTACTAGGTCTCCGAAACCGCTAGACCTGCCTTCCCAAAAGTTTTACCAGTTGTTCATTTCGTCAATACAAGTAAAATGTTCTTTGATTTTTTAAAATCGGACGCTCTGTTCTCTTAAAAACTGAGCTACCGTTTTTTGCACTTTTTGCCCCGTATCTTCGGAACGGGTAGACCTGCCTTCGCCAAAAACTAATCAGCACGTCTCCTTATCTATACGAATCGAATGTTTTTTGATTTAGTTAAATCGGTGTTCCCGAAATCGTCAACGAAAATTTGTATCCGCACGCACACACACACACATCCATCTTTTCTAATTGTAAGGTATGCCAGTAAAATATTCAGAAACATCTGAAACGTAAAGATATATAAACATTTTCGTTTTCGATTTTTTTGCGAATTCTATAACTTGCCCTACGGGAAGTTGAAAATTATGAATTTGCTCGTCAATGAAGTTTTTTTGAAACAAATGATAAAATTTGCTCGTCAGTAGAATTGTTTTTGAAAAATAAAATTTGCTAGTCAATAGAGTTCTGTTCTCATAAAAATTCAAATGTCAACATTTGTTTGTCAATAGTGTTCTTTTCATCTTAAAAAATTCCGTAATCTTGATTGTCAGTAAAGTTTTTATCTTAAAAAAAAAGTATGATTTTACTCGTCAGTAGAATTCTTTTTTTAAATAATCAAATATAAAAATTTGTTCGTTAGAAGAGTTACTTTTTCATGATAAAAATCCAAAATTGCTTATCAGTAGAGCTCTTCATTTCTGAAAAAATGTATAACTTGAAAATCTAATTAACTAAAAATCTAAAATTTACAATAATTTAAATCAGAGTGATAAATGTGAAAGCAAAAATTGACAAATTGGATGTCGTCTATAGGCGACAATCATACAAGGAGGTCATGAAGCACATGTCGCCTATAGACGACACCCAATCCAACGTAACAAAAGCGTTAGGATGCATTTCTTGTGAAAAACAAAATTGAACAAGAGTACAAATAAATCTTTTTTTAAAGATGTTTTGCAATTTTTCAAAATTGCAAAATTATTTGAAAACCACTAATTTCCAAATTATTATTCTTTTTTTAAAAAAAAACAAAAAAAAGTCATGACTTATCGAATAAACATAATTAGAATAAATGTGTTCGAGATGATAAAATTATTAATGCAGCTTTAAAAAAGTAAAAAAAAAAAACTATTGAAAAAGCACTGCTTTAATAATAGAAAAAATTACATTCATATTTGATATATACTAAATTTAGGTTTAGTATAATCTCTTCGTGGTAATTAATCAATCGATGATGATAATACAGTTTGAGTCATGAGTGAATCAACAAAAAGGACTTGGATTAAGCCTTGTTTGAAGGTGACAAAGAAATGAATGAGTACTCAAAAGCTTTCTCTTCAAGTAGATATAATGACAAAACAGATTGAACTCAGATTTGAATCAAAGACTTCTTCGATCAGTAATATTAATACTTCTCGAATAACTATATTTAATAATATTGCAATTTAATATAATATATAATGATGATAATACATATTGTACTTTATGTATCATTCGTTGTTATAAAATCAAATATCGTAAGTGTAAACATCAGTTTAATCTCTTCGAGGAAAATAAATCAAGGAATATTAAAAATATGAATGTAGTTTAAGTCCACAAAGAAATATAATGTGATTTCAACTATTAGTCATATTAAAGACTTTTCAAATAAAGTTAACAAATGTATTCTTTTCAAGTAATGAAATTAATCGATGATAATAATGAGGGCGCAGTAAATAAATGTGTAAGTGTGTAAATAAATCAATCGATAATGATAATATTAATGCAAGTTAATCACTAATTTACAAAGTCTACAAAGAAACAAATAATAATTCAAACAATTAGTTATGTTACCACTTTTCAAATAATTATAACAAGTGTCTTCGAATAAAAAAATCAATAGAAATAAATAGATGTTAACAATACAGTTGTTGTTTAGACATTGTTTGAAATTCACAAAGAAATAATATGTCAGGGACGTTATGTTCCTCGAATGAATTTAATAAGTGTTTATAAACCAATCAATGAATAGTAATACGAAAACACTTATTTAAGTCTATGTTGAAATATGTTATTTAATATATTAGCCATGTTATAAATTAATAAATAAACAGTATAAGATTAAATAAATACTAGACAAAATTAGCTATTAAACTGTATTATTATAATTTTTATCAAATATTCCACAAAGGCACTGATATAATTCTTATATTTATTTATTTATTTATTAATTTTACAAGCCGTCAGTATAATAATGTTATAATAAGGCTTAAGTCAATGTTTTATACGTTTAATATAATTTAATTAATTATTAGCTATATTATTACTTATTTATTTATTATTTTATTTATTTACTATAAACTTATTTATATTTAGTTAATTTTAATTATTTTTAAATATAACTAGTTTGTTGCAAGTATTTTTTTAAAAATTTAATAAGTATTTTAATAAGCAATTACAACTTTACAATAACTAACTTTTACAATATAATTAATTTATTTAACAAATTTTAGGTTATTTTATGATATTTTAACAAATTTAAGGGTCTTATGTTATTGTTATCAATATTATTATTATTAATATTATCAAATGTGTAATTATGTAAATAAATAAATCAATAATTGTAATATTAATATCTTTTTTAAGCATTAGTCAAGCTATTTCTTGTCGAATAAATATAACAAGCGTCTTCGAGTAAATGAATTAATAAATTCGAGGCATAAGAATATAAATTTTTAAGTTTATGAAGAAATAATGTAATTTTGTCTTTATGCTAATTATGCTATATAATATAATATAATATATAAACCATAGTGTAAGCGTAAGTTTCATTTCTTCGAGGTAAGATTAAAAATATGGATGTAGTTAATGTAAGTCCACAAAGAAATATAATGTGATATCAACTATTAGTCATTAGTATTAGTATTAGTAAATAAATGTATAAGTATGTAAATAAATCAATTGATAATGATAATATTAATATTTTTCAAGCATTAGTCAAGCTATTTCTTCACGAATAAATATAACAAGTGTCTTCGAATAAATGAATCAATAAAATGAAGTGACTACAAATTTAATATATTTATTAATGATTTTGTCTTTATGTTAATTATATCATGTAACATAATATATTAACCATATTATAAATCAGCTAGTATACATTACGAGGATGTACAACTAATCTGTTCGAGTAAAT